GTGGAGCCTTGGAAACATTCTGATGGGCAGTGTTTAGGAAATGACGTGAGGAACTTTTTCTGTATGATCACCAAGCTTCCTCACTACATAAAAAATATATTTAAGATGTTTTGGTATTTTCCTAAACACAGCTTTTATTAAATTATATATATATTAAGTCCTTTCTCATGATAATTACTTTATATTTCAATGCTCAACGTGGCACTCAACGTGGCACTCAAGGTGGCACTCAAGGTGGCACTCAAGGTGGCACTTAGGCTTACCTCTACTCTAAAACTAAAACTCACATTCCATATCACATTTACCCGGATATTAAAGTTCATACTCGCCTGCTCTCACTCTACCTCATACTCAAGCTCAAACTTACAATATCATACTTAAAATCTCACTTGTGCTCACACTCGTCCTCAAACTCACACTCAACCCCCCCCCCGCACACACACACACTCACCTCACCCCCCCCCACACACACTCAACCCCCCACCCCCCACCCCACACACACACACACTCGTACGCTTGCAAAGTGTAACAAAGGCTCGGAAGAATTAATGTCAGTATGAGTCGATATAAACTCACTCGAGCGCTGCCTTGACGACAATGGCTGCGTGATATGATTCTTAGCCTTGCAGTTCCATTTAAAATTGGTGTGTTTGCTAGCCTGAACCTTTGTGTGCGAGTGCATTCGCCTATTGGGGCCGACAGGATCAACCTCGAAGCTCATGGACTCTCGCCTCACTAACCGTAGGCAGTGTAAAGTGATCGATAAAGCGATCGATCCTTAGTTAAGTTCCCGGTTAGTTAACTTAGTTTAGTTCTTAGTTAACTAAGTTTTGTTTCTAAGTTAACTTTTGCTGCCATAGAGTATGCAGCTGAGGTTATCCTATTTGTATGAGCCTCCAAATGTTTGTGTGTGTGTGTGTGTGTGTGTGTGTGTGTGTGTGTGTGTGTGTGTGTGTGTGTGTGTGTGTGTGTGTGTGTGTGTAATTACCAAAGTGTAGTTACAGGATGAGAGCTACGCTCGTGGTGTCCCGTCTTCCCAGCACTCTTTGTCATGTAACGCTTAAAAACTACTGATGGTTTTAGCCTCCACCACCACTTCATTTAACTTGTTCCGACCGTCTACCACTCTGTTTGCGAAATAATTGGGTGTACGGGGAGTAAGATTTTACTGTGATATCCCGCCTCATAGCTTTTGTGCCTGGTACATTTATATCTCAAGATTACTCACAGAAATCACAATAGCGTGATGCATCAAATGAACAAATCCACAAAAGCCGTGACGAGGGTTCGAACCTACGTCCGAGAGCATCCCAGACGCGCCTTAATCGACTGAGCTATCACATGGATATAAAAGAAGAGACATTGATAGCTGAGGCTATTTCCCCAACATCCCGACAGCACTTGGTGGTAAACAGGAAAAAAGAGCACTGTGTGGGCCAGCCAGAGGATTAGGGTCCGCGCAGGAATATCCAAGGACAAAAAAATACTGTGCTACTGTTGAGAAAAAGCTGAACTGTGACGACTATTTTTGGTAAGCTTAAATCTTATACTTTTAACTAATCATGAACAGTGTCACTACTTGTTTACTCGCGGTTAGGCTACTCACTGAGTACATTCAGTGAGTGAATAAGGTTACTGAGTACATGGAGTAAAAAAAACATGAATAAGTGCTGGCAGCATATATACTCTCACTCCAAATGATAAAAAAAAGTTCACATTTATTCTCACCCTTACACCTACGCTCAAACTAACGCTAATCCACACATATATAACAACACACTTGCTCATATTTTTGTAAAATTACCTATCCTCAATCACATGCCCATACTTACACTTACTCACACTCATACATATTCTCAAAGTAATACTTACACTTTACTACTAAACAGTCTCAAAAAAAAAACTTATAACTAAATAGTATTATTATTCTCAAACCGTTTTTTCCATTCTTATTCTTATTTAAATCTGACGTACGGGTCTATGCCGGTCCCTCCTACTGGAACTCTGATTCCTGTCATGCACTCACTCCCACCCCTCAATTCAGTATTCCTTCAGATGTTTTGTGGCCATAGCAGCAGTTAGAATTGGTAAAGACGATTTCAATAGGAAAACGTTTCCGCTGGCATCATGGGAGGATTAAAGGGGTTGAGTGTGTGAGGGTAGATGGATGAGGGGACGAGATAGCAGGTCAAGTGGGTGACGATGGAGAAAGGGGAAAATAGAGAGGGAAATGTTAGGGATGGTTATGGATAAATTGAAGGAACAGATCAGGAAAAGAGTCAACAGTCTGAGAGGGAGGAGAGGAAGGTGAATAGAGGAAATGAAGTGGAAGGGTGAAAGGGAGGTTATTTTAGATTTGTTATAACTTTAATATACCTATAGATATGTTAGTTGGTTGAAGACAATAAGGGTTAGTTAAGTTTAATTAAGGTTTCCAGTAAATTTAACTTAAACGAAATTATTATTATTATTATATATATATATATATATATATATATATATATATATATATATATATATATATATATATATATATATATATATATATACACACATACTTCCCCTATGAGAGAATCGAAACCTGGGTCAGCCATGTGGCTGGCCAGAGTACAAACCAATAGGCCACGCCTAAGATCGTTAAAAGGATTGAAACTCTGCGGCTTTTCCACCAAATCTCTGTCCCCAATGACACCAGAGGGATGGCTACAGGTCAGACACTCATTTTCTATCATATTTACTAGGTAAAACTCGTGCCTTGAATATACCACACACTTGCATGAATGTGCAGGGAATTTTAACAAACAGAAAACTTCCCCTATGAGTAGGTGGGGATAGAGTGTGGTGGGGATAGAGCGGGGTGGGGATAGAGTGGGGTGGGGATAGAGTGGGGTGGGGATAGAGAGGGGTGGGGATAGAGAGGGGCGCAGATAGATGGGGGATAAGTGTATTGGAAGGAAGGCCTGGTCCAAGACCGGGCCCCGGGGCCGTTGAAATCCCGAAGCTACACAAGGTAGGATGGGGGGGATAGGGGGGGATAGGTAATTAGGGTAGGGGGTGGAGATAGGGTGAGTGAGCGAGTAGGGAGTAGACTAGGGCGTGGGCGCTGCAAAGAGAAAGTGAGAATGTATGCATGATGACACAGGATGGGAAGGCTTGTGTGGGCGCACGCCAGGAGATGGTGGGAATGAGTGTGCGCGCGATTGGAGAAGGTAGATGGAGACTGAACTGGCATGTGAGTGTTGGGTAAAGGAATCTCTCGCGCACGCACGTGTGTGTGTGTGTGTGTGTGTGTGTGTGTGTGTGTGTGTGTGTGTGTGTGTGTGTGTGTGTGTGTGTGTGTGTGTGTGTGTGTGCGTGTGTCATTAGAATTCTAGGAGGGAGTTTGTGTGCAGGTAGGAGGCCGAGAGGGTGTGTGGTGGGGAAGCTGGGAGGGCGTATTCGAGGTCAGAGACACTTTGTTCTTGTTTAACAACATTTTTACCAGTAATTGCTGCTGGGTACGTACCCATCATTGGTCACGGGGGGGGGGGATAGAGAGGGAGAAGTAGAAAAAGGGAGAGGAAAGCAAAGGAATGAGAGAGAGAGAGAGAGAGAGAGAGAGAGAGAGAGAGCGAAACAGAGAGAGAAAGAGACCAAGAGAAAGAGAGCAAGAGAAAGAGAGCAAGAGAGGGATGAGAGAAGGATAGAGGGGGGGATAGAGAGGGGGAGGGACGGGGAGAAAGAGATGGGGAAGAGAGATGGGGAAGAGAGATGGGGAAGAGAGATGGGGAAGAGAGATGGGGAAGAGAGATGGGGAAGAGAGATGGGGAAGAGAGATGGGGAAGAGAGATGGGGAAGAGAGATGGGGAAGAGAGATGGGGAAGAGAGATGGGGAAGAGAGATGGGGAAGAGAGATGGGGAAGAGAGATGGGGAAGAGAGATGGGGAAGAGAGATGGTGAAGAGAGAGATGGGGAAGAGAGGTGGGGAAGAGAGGAGGGGGGAGAGGAAGGGAGAGAGGAGGAGAGAGAAGGGGTAGAGAGGGGAAGGGAGAGGAGTAGAGGGAGGAGAGAGAAGGGAGAGGGGTAGAGGGAGGAGTAGAGGGAGGAGTAGAGGGAGGAGTAGAGGGAGGAGTAGAAGGAGGAGGACAGAAAGGAAGAGAGAGGAAGAGAGAGAGAGGAAGAGAGAGAGAGAGGAAGAGAGAGAGAGAGGAAGAGAGAGAGAGAGGAAGAGAGAGAGAGAGGAAGAGAGAGAGAGGAAGAGAGAGAGAGGAAGAGAGAGAGAGGAAGAGGAGGGAGGGAGAGAGATAGGAAGGGAGAGAGAGATAGAGAGGGAGATGGGGGGAAAAGGGAGGAGAGGGAGGACAGGCAGAGGACTGGAATGGGGATAAATGTTTTTCAATGTTAACGAAAGGGTTAGACTTTAAAAATGTTTTATAACTTAATACTAAAGCTGAGTTCCATGTAAAGTCTTAACATCTTCAGAGACAGAGAGGGAGTAGTTCCTCGCTAGCAAAAGCTACAAATGTGTATATCGAAGTAACATGAGAAAACGTTCAGTGATAAAGTCGATGTTTGCTACAGCAGCAAGCGAGGTGTGAGCTGAATATTCTGCTCTGGTTCTGAGGACTGTATAATGAATCGCAGAGTTAGTTGAATCTGAAGATCAATGATTCAAGTATATATATATATATATATATATATATATATATATATATATATATATATATATATATATATAATATATATATATATATATATATATATATTTAATTAGATTCATTTGCATGATACCTATTTTTCCTATTTTCATGGACTTTATTCTCATTAGCTCAAATGAATTGTCCAATCTTCTTCTGCTCATTTCTCCAGATGAGATCTCTTAAGGCAAGGCGGTCCATTAATGCGAGATCCTCCGTTCACCCGACCTGTTTTTTCTCAGCCGGAACGTTTCTGAAGATTAAGACAGATAGCTTTGCCGGATTACTTCTTGATTGTCTGCCGATTTTTTATAATCGGGTCCCATGGCAGTGTTTTATGGTACCTCTCCTGCTCCAGCACACGGGTCCTGTGATATCGTCCGAACCCCGAGGCATCTCGATCCACAGCACCCCCGAGGCATCTCCACAGCACCCCCGAGGCATCTCCACAGCACCCCCGAGGCATCTCCACAGCACCCCCGAGGCATCTCCACAGCACCCCCGAGGCATCTCCACAGCACCCCCGAGGCATCTCCACAGCACCCCCGAGGCATCTCCACAGCACCCCCGAGGCATCTATACAGCACCCCCGAGGCATCTCCACAGCACCCCGAGGCATCTCCACAGCACCCCGAGGCATCTCCACAGCACCCCCGAGGCATCTCCACAGCACCCCCGAGGCATCTATACAGCACCCCGAGGCATCTCCACAGCACCCCGAGGCATCCTTCTGAGTCCATGGAAGATATAATTACTAGGAAAAGGAGTAAAAATGATGTAATCCTGCTATCCTTAATCTTTCGCGATTGAGATCAAAGACATTAACTTGGCAGGGGGAAGGAGGTGGAATATATACATATATATATCCGGATATACATATATCCGGATATACATATATCCGGCAAACACCTGCGTCTATTTCCTCCCCCAAACGTCACGCCCATCACGGCTCTCACTCGTTCCCTTGCTCCTATCTTCCCTCGAATCGCTTACCTTCCCCTCTGAGCCCTTCGCTTGCTTCTTCACGTTTCCTTCCTGTTCCCTCTTTTTCTGCTATCGAACCCCTTTATCAACATGCTCTCTACGCTGCCTCTCTCTCTATCTCCATCTTCGCGTGTCTCTTCTCCATCTCTCTCTCTCTCTTCCTCCCCATCGTTCGTAATTTCCCATCATTTCCGTGTAACATTACCAATCTCAGGGAAATAAGCTATCACCAGAAGCCCTCCTGGAGGAGGAAGCAGATGGCTTTTACAAATTCGTCAATCCCGTTTGGTTGATGTATCTCACAGGTCACGGGGAATATGGCACCCATGATAAAAATATATTTGAACTTTTCTTTAAGGGGGTTGGATTGATGGATATATCAGGGGAAAGCACAAATCCATTACGACTATAAGCACTTGGAAGGGGCCAGGATAAGGATTTGGGATGGGATAATTTACTATTTGTTTCTTGTATTTGGTTAATGAGTCATAGTTTGGAGGGGAATTTAGAGTTCACTGTTGTGTTGTCTGACGCTCTGTCACCAGTGGGGTGTGGAGTTGTGTGTTCTCATCCACACTACCGACTCCAACCACACTCATTCAGCATCGAAAATATTGCCACTGATCACCCTTAACAACATTAACACCTATAACACTACTACCCATAGCACCACCACTGCCACTAACCCCTTATAATTCCACTAGTTACCTATGAAGCCACTACTGCCACTAGCTACCCCTAACTCCATACCACTAATCACTTTCACTAACCATCCAAACACCATCAGAACCACTACACCACCATCACTAATCACAATACCACCACAACAACCAAACACTAACAGCAAGACCACTAATACATCTAATCACCAATAACATCACAGGGATTATTACCAACCACCTTTAACACATCTATTAACCATTTATAGTATCACAATCACCTACCACAACCACTTATCACATGGAACACCCCCACTAACCACTTACACCCCCACCTACACCCCCACCACCACGTACCATGGTACCCACCGCCCCAGAACTTGGCACTCTCCTAAGGTAATACCAACGCAAGCATCCCAGCAGCTGGGTACATTACCTGATTGGTCCCAGCAGTCGATTCTTATCAAAAAGTGATGACGTCTTATCCTCTACAGAGCGCTCGGGGGGAAAAAAACATGCCGACTCAATAAGCAATTATCCCGCTATTCTCCGAGTGTATCGCAATTACTGCAGGTATCTGGCGGTTCGTCTGTCTGTGAAGCATGAAAAAATCACTACCGAATTACTCTTCCTCCATAAGTTGAAGAACCGTATATAAAAAATATTTATTCTTTGAATGTTTGAAATAATGTTTGTATTTGTCCGAGGTTGGAGGCCAGACGCATGGGGCTAGACTCATTAAACTTTACAGGATTAATGTTGCTTTGATTAGAAGTGATATATGGTGTAGTCAGGGTAGGCCAGGTGCTCCTCTGAAGGTTAGGGGATACGGACCCAATGCCATTGGTTCACGAAGTCCAAAAATATGAAATGTTCAACTCTGAGTCCATAGAATTACGTTTCCATAAAAGTTTTGTGTTCTGACGTTTCATTGGAGACAGGAGACAGCAGGAGAAAAAATCTTAGAGGAATTGGTAGAGTGAGGGAATTAGGGGGGTGAGGAGGGGCATTTGGAGCGCTAGAGGGTGTGTACTCACCTAGTTATACCTAGTGTGTAACCACCTAGTTGTGATTGCGGGGGTTGAGCTCTGGCTCTTTAGCCCCGCCTTTCAACTGTCAATCAACTGGTGTACAGATTCCTGAGTTCCATGAGACCTATCATATCTACATTTCAAACTGTGTATAGAGTCAGCCTCCACTACGTCACTGACTAATGCCTTTCATTTGTTAAATTTTCTGACATTGAAAAAATTCTTTCTAACATCCTTGTGGCTCATTTGGGTACTAAAGTCTCCACCTGTGTCCCCTTGTTCGCGTACCAACCGTGTAAAACAGTTTATCTACCCAGTCAATTCCTATGAGAATTTTGTAGATAGTGATCATGTCTCCCCTTACTCTTCTGTCTTCCGGTGTCGTGAGGTGCATTTAACGCACCATTTTCCTCGTAACTCATGCCTCTTAGTTCTGGGACTAGTATAGTGGCATACCTCTAAACTTTTTCCAGCTTCGTTTTGGACTTAACAAGGTACGGGCTCGATGCTGGGGCCGCATACTCCAGGATTGGTATTAAATGTGGTATACAGGGTTCTGACAGATTCCTTACACAGGTTCCTGAAGGCTGTTCTGATGTTAGCCAGCCTTGATGGGGGGGGAGGGGTAGTGTGGTAGTGTGTGGAGATGGGGGGGAGGATAGTGGTGTGTGGGGATGGGGGGGGGGGGTTGGTGGTGTGTGGGGATGGGGGGGGGGTTGGTGGTGTGTGGGGATGGGGGGGGGGTTGGTGGTGTGTGGGGATGGGGGGGTTGGTGGTGTGTGGGGATGGGGTGGTGTGTGGGGATTGGGGGGGGGGGGGAGAGTGGTGTGTGGGGATGGGGGGGGGGGGTGGTGGTGTGTGGGGATGGGGGGGGGGTGTGGGGATGGGGGGGTGGGTGGGGATGGGGGGGGGGGGGGTGGTGTGTGGGGATGGGGGGGGGGGGGTGGTGTGTGGGGATGGGGGGGTGTGTGGGGATGGGGGGGGGAGAGTGGTGTGTGGAGACGGGGGGGGGGGAGTGGTGTGTGGAGACGGGGGGGGGGAGGGTGGAGTGTGGAGACGGGGGGGGGAGGGTGGTGTGTGGGGATTGGGGGGGGGGGGGAGTGGTGTGTGGGGATGGGGGGGGGGTGTGGTGGTGTGTGGGGGATGGGGGGGTGTGTGGGGATGGGGGGGGGGTGTGGGGATGGGGGGGGGAGGGTGGTGTGTGGAGATGGGGGGGGGAGGGTGGTGTGTGGAGACGGGGGGGGGGAGGGTGGAGTGTGGAGACGGGGGGGGGAGGGTGGTGTGTGGAGACGGGGGGGGAGGGTGGAGTGTGGAGACGGGGGGGGGAGGGTGGAGTGTGGAGACGGGGGGGGGGAGGGTGGAGTGTGGAGACGGGGGGGGGGGAGGGTGGAGTGTGGAGACGGGGGGGGAGGGTGGAGTGTGGAGACGGGGGGGGGGAAGGGTGGAGTGTGGAGACGGGGGGGAGGGTGGAGTGTGGAGACGGGGGGGGAGGGTGGAGTGTGGAGACGGGGGGGGGAGGGTGGTGTGTGGAGACGGGGGGGGGGGAGTGTGGAGAGTGGTGTGTGGAGATGGGGGGGGGGGGGTGGAGTGTGGAGACGGGGGGGGGGAGGGTGGTGTGTGGAAACGGGGGGGGGGGTGGTGTGTGGAGACGGGGGGGGGGGAGGGTGGAGTGTGGAGACGGGGGGGGGAGGGTGGGAGTGTGGAGACGGGGGGGGGAGGGTGGTGTGTGGAGACGGGGGGGGGGGGTGGAGGGTGGTGTGTGGAAACCGGGGGGGGGGAAGGTGGTGTGTGGGAACCGGGGGGGGGGAAGGTGGTGTGTGGAGACGGGGGGGGGGGGAGGGGTGGTGTGTGGAGACGGGGGGGGGGAGGGGGGGTGTGTGGAGACGGGGGGGGGGAGGGTGGTGTGTGGAGACGGGGGGGGAGGGTGGTGTGTGGAGACGGGGGGGGGGAAGGATTGTGTATGGTGACAGGGAGGAGGGGGGAAGGGATGGGGGGTGGGAAAATATTCAGGATAAACCCTGAAGAAAATGTAAACTTTTGCCCAATTAATGAAAAGGAAATTACAACAAGTTGATAAGAGAGCTGAAGCGAACGCGAACAATAGACCTTAACAACATACGCGATGACTGCCACCTTATGAAACACACAACCATTGCAGACGTCTATAAAACAATTATGGGTTTCCAGAACAAAGCGCCGGGCAACAGCAAGATAAGCAAGATGGTATTATTCAACCTACCAGTGATTGCACTCCATCAATACACATGTATCTTAAATGCAGCTCTTGCATCTGGACTATTCCCCACATACTTCAAGAATGCCACAATAAGATTAATCCCCAAGCCCGGGAACCCCCCAACCCAAACTGAAAATTACAGACCAATTTCCCTCCTCTAAGTACCAGGTAAAATATTTGAAAAAAATATTCGGAGCCTTGTGAAGTACATGGAAGAGGAAGGGAAGTATAACACCAGGCAACAAGGGTTTAGAAACCGCAGAGGGGCCCATACAGCTATAGCCCTGATCTACGAGCATATAGCCAACGCAGTGTCGAAAAAAGATCAGTGTAATATAGTGCTTAGTGACGTTTCGAAGGCCATCGACAACGTGTGGCACACAGGCCTAAATTATAAGATATCTGAACCAGGACTTCCTGAAAGATTTACTGCTACTCCCTGCAGCTTTATAGACAACAGAACTGCTAGACCTCTATCGGCAGCTAATTGGGTGACGTAATAGAACTGAGAAGTGGAGTACCACAACGAAGCTGCCTCTCCCCCACTCTATTCAACATATATACAGCTCACCTACCCCAACTCCAACATGGAGAATACATCACATACGCTGACGATGTCACCCAAATAATTTGCCCACCGGGACCATCAAAGCCATAACTAGCCGACAAGACCAAGGCAGCAATTGAACTCAAACAACTTTGGGAAACAATGGAAAATTAGAGCAACAAACAAAGTTTCAGATAATACACATTGCGAAAAGAAACCCGGACCCAATTATCCTTGACAACCAGCCGATCCAATATGCGGAGGTAGGCAGAATACTGGGACTTATGATAAATAGAACAGGGATACAAA